ATGTACACAAAACGCAAGAGGCAGCAGTATAACCTGACCCTTCACAGAGAGCCCTTGGCAGCCCTTTTCTGGTTCCAGGGGAGACAGGAGATAAAAGGGCCCCAGGCTGAGCAGCTGGAGTCTGTCCCCTGCGGACAGATACTCCAAGATGAAGGTAATAGCGGAGCGAAGAGTTGAGGGCTGTCCAGATAAAAGATAAAGAGACCGCATATTCCTCATTCTCGAGATCAAGGAGCCCTTCCCAAGTACACGTGCACAGAAAGGCTCCTCGGGGGTCAAAAAGGGAAGGGGTGCCACTCCATAGTAAGTGATGTCAACCTACCCATAGGCCTCTTTGCTAGAATCCATCTTGCCTAAGAGATGTGCGCACACACAGGGGAGGACCCTGAGATAAACCAAATACGGACTCAGAGCCAGTCAAAGCAAGATGATTGGCCAAGGGAAATCAGAAGAAATGCCCCATATAAGTGATTCAAACTACCACGAGGGCGCGAGCCTCTGAGAGCCTCTGCCCCTCTGAGCCTGCCTGTGTGTCTATACACACATACCCTTTTTCCTCCTAATAAACACTTTACTTGTTTCACTACTTTCTGTCTCTTTGTGGAAATTCATTTCTACAAAGCCGACGGGCTAGAGCCTTATCACTGGCCTCTGGTCCCTGGTGGTCTAGTGGCTAGGATTCAGCACTTCAGTCTCTGGCCAGGGCAACCAAAACCCTGCTTCAAGCCGCTGCAGGCCGAGGCCACCTGAGATCACAGGGTGATTGTTAACAGCACGTGATCACCCCCAAGCTCAGCATACCTTGGCCTGTTTTCCAGAACATGACTCCGTGCATCTGTCCTGACACTCCAATGCCACAGACCTTGCAGAGCTGCTGCCGGGGAAGGGCAGCAAGGCACTCGTGGAGGGCCTGGATGATTCTCCTCACATCCTGCTCTTGCCCCTGGAAACAGAACAGGATACGTTGGACAGAGGTACACACACAAGCAGGGGAAGGAGGGCAGAGGCGCCAGGGACTTCCTGGGTGGTGGTTGCCCACCTAATTCCACCGAGGTCACTTCCAGGACCTGCTGAGGGGCCTCAAGGAGGGGATGTGGGCCTGAGGGTTCTCCACCACCTCCAGCGGGGCCTGGAGTAGGAACGTGGTGGGCGAGGTCCCACTTCTCCCTTCACAGATGAGGCGCTTCTGTGGGTTAAGTTCAGCCAATGGCCTGGGCTCTGCCCGCTGCCGTGGAAGAGTCTGAGCTGAGAAAAGCACTGCCCTGCCCTATAGGAGCTTACAGTCCAGCAGGACAGGAAAACACAAGAAAGACCATGCTGCAAGAAGAAATAAGGCAAAGGTCTTTGGCAAGGCACAATGGAGCATTGGGGTAGAGGAAGGATGGAACCCAGCAGGGAGGAACCCAGCAGGAAAGGTGTAGGCAAGAAAGGCTTCCTGGACTAAAGCACCTGAGGACCAGCCCTAGTGTTTGCTCCAGTTCATCCATCTGGCAAACATTTCCCGAATGCCCTGAGGGCTTGCATTTGTTCCGGGGGGCAGTGCAGGCCTCCCCTCCTTGGAGTTAAGCCTTCATTTGTCAGCCTGCTGGCCTTGGGCTGTGGCAGTTCTTGGCTCCAAACAAACATGATCGAAGGAGAAGAAAGAAGAAAGGTGAGGAGGGGTAGGGCTGGGGAAGGAGAGGAGAGGGAACACAGAGCATTTCGTTGAGGAGGCAACCCTACATCCTAACAAGACTCTTTATGCAGGAGAGACTACAGTAGAACTGAGCGGGCAGTAAAAGATGGGGCAGAGAGGAGATGCATGGCTATGCATGATCCCCCAGGAGGGAAGAAATAAGGCAGCGGGCAAAGGAAGAAGGAAGCAGGGAAGGGGCATTTGTTTACACCTGCCCTGTCCAACATGCCAGTCATCAGCTACACACAGCTAGTCTGAATTGAAATCTACACACCAGACTTCAGATTTAGTACGAGAAAAAAAGCACAATATCTCATTAATAATTCTATATTGATTATTACATATGGAAATGATATGTTTGGATCCATTGGGTTAAAATAATAAGCAATGAAACTTAATTTTACAGTTCCTTTTTACTGTTTTTTGATACGGGCACCAGAAAGTTGAAAATTACGCGTGTGGCTCACATTTGCACTGCACAGTGCTGGTTTAAAGAGTTCCCACGTGGCATGAACCCAGATGGTACATGAATGCAGGACAGAGGAGCTGCTGTTTAAAATGGGCCTAGGGTGGGTGAGCTGTGTAGGTAAGGACAGCAGAGGCGTGAAACAGGCCAGAGGGGAGTGAAGGCAAGGAGGCACTCAGTATGTGGGGAGTTTTAGTGGTGAGTGTGATGGGGGAGCAATTCTTGGACAGACAGTGGATACACCCACAATGTCACAGGAAAGGCGCTGCCCCCATTCCTTGATTCAGAATATCAAGTGGTCTACATTCAGATCAGATGCTAGAAATTCAGATTTGAAAAAAGAATTTAGGAATTCGTTCAACCCTCCTCCCCCACACCCCTTTTTACAGATGGGGAAACTGAGGCCCAGACAGGTAAAATTCATAACACAGAAAGGGTCACAGAGCTTCCCTCAAAAATCTTGATATTTTAAAGTTGCAAAGAGCTAAAAGTCTGACCTTCCACATAGCTGCCAAAGTTGACCATGGAGTACACAATGCTTCTAAAGAGTGAGAAATATGGATATGAGGAAAGAACAGAGCCACCAGGTGTTTCTATGGATCAGTAGTGTTTACCCCAGGGATGATTTTTGTCCCCTCGGGGGCATTTGGCAATATGGAGGCATTTTTGGGTGTCTCAGCTGGGGAGGAGGGTTCTACTGGCATGCAGTGGGTTAGAGGCCAGGGATGTTGCTGAACATCCTACAACGCACAGGACAGCACCCCACAACAAAGAATCATCCAATCTCCAAATATCAACAGTGCCAAGGTGAAGAAATCCTGCTATAGGTGAAATTACAACAAGGCTGTTTGTCCCAGAGCACAACACACATGTGGAGGATGCAAGGGGGGCTATTACCGGCCTCCCCTAAACCCCCCCTTAGGCAGGTGTGGAGCACTGGGCATGCCTGTAAACACAGAACACTGTGCTGGACACTGGGGGAAGTGGGGAAAGTAGTTTTCAAGAAGTGGCCCTATTTCAAGAGAAAAGGGCACTGCCTAAAACCCACCCCTGTAATCGCAGCTCTGCTGCTTACCCCCACAGGGTCAGAGCTGACTTTGCCTCCACTTCATGGTCCATGAAGTGAGATAATCATTCTAAAATGTCCTGATGCCCCAACCAAGCTAATTTTGAAAGGCTCTATGAAAATGCGAAGTGCTCCTGAAATCTTTATCCTCTGAAATGCTTCTGATCAAGATGGACTCTGAACCCTAAAGGACTGAGTCCAGGTATGTGGCAAGAGCTTGTGAAAAACAAAGCTATTGGGAGTGGGGTTTGGCTCAGAAAATCGAGGTTTGTGGCTGGAAGGGGCCATAGAGGTCATCTATTTCAATTATAAGAACAAGCTGAGATCCAGGAAAAAAAAAATGTCATGAGGATACACAGAAAGTTCCTTGATATTAATCTGTATTATCAATGAACTGAACATAGAGCTACCTTTTTCAAGGAATTAATGGAATCCATCTCTGAGGATTGACGTCCTTTCTGAACCCACAACTTGCAATTGAGCCCACTGTGGTGAAATTCTCCATTTCTATATTGTAGCTTTCACAAAACACTAGTTTTCGTGTAGAATTATCAATCTGACCTTTTTCTAACATTTTAATTGAGGTATCTCTCAACGTCTATCTGTCCTGGCGTCTTTCTTCCAAGGTATCTCAGCCTTTGGGGCCAGGGGACTTTTGCTGTCCAAGTGTTTGAGTTCCTCCACCCACAATCCACTCCTGCGGGATGAGAGAGCGGCAGGTTACGCTGGATTTTGCGTCTGATTTCTCAAGGAAAACCCAGACACCGCCCTAGGGAACAAGCTGAATCCTGAATTTGAGGACACCTGCAGATGTGAGGAGCAGAGAGCCGCGAGAATGAGAAGGCAGCCTGAGATCGCTCCACATGCAGGAGAGCAATTTCCTGCAGGTCAGGATACAGAAAGTGGAGGGCAGAGAGCACGGGGATATAGCGCCAAGGTCAAGGCTCCCAAAGAAGGCCCGAGAGTGGGGCGATCGGTGCCAGCAGGTGGGAAAGCTCCTGGGAGGAGATCTATCGGATCGAGGGAGTTGCAGCGGGCAGGCAGAGATCAGGCAGGCTGGAGCTGTCAGGGAGACTTCTCTAAGGAGGAAGAGGGTGTCTGGAGGCTCCTGGAGGCGGCGAGGCTCCAGGGCGCTGCCTCACCTGGGGCCCCGCTGCCGCGCTCTGGGCCGCAGTCTCGGCCCGCGCAGGCCGGGCACAGCTCGCCAGTACCACGAACCCGGAAGGGTCGCCGCGCGCGGCCTCCACCAGGGCCGCCTTCACAGACGTGGTGCCCAGGTCGATGCCGAGAGTGACAGACCGTGCAGCCATGACAGCGATTGAGTCTGGGGCCGGGGCGCCCCTTCCAGCACACTTCACCCGGGACAGAGGCGCCGAGGCGGGGCCTCGCCTGCCAATCTTTCCAGCCACGCTCAACACGACGAATTCTCGTCTTCCCATTGGTTGAGGAAGGCCGAGTCCCGCGCACCACGAGCGACGGTCCCCGGCTATAGGCGGAGCCGCGGTGGAAGGCGGAACCTACAGGCCCCGCCCCGCAGGGCAGGGTTTGCGATGTGGCCCGAGGCTTCGGCCTTGCTCACCAAAGTACCAGTACCCCGAGTCTCGCTGGGGGATGCGAGAGCTTCTGTGACCCTAATAGTGACTTAACCCTCCCACATATCCGAGCCTGCCAAGTTGCCTGAGCCCCTCCGCTCCTCCCCAGCTCCAAACTGTCTCGCTGAGACGCGGGAAAACTACAGCTCCCAGGGTGCACCGCGCCGAGACCTGTACTCCGCGGATCAGGTGGCTCGAGTCAGGTGACTTCTGGTTCGCCCCACACTAAGTCAAGCCGGCCGGAGGAAGCTGGTACAGTCCGAAGCGGCTCCTGCGTCCCGTATGGTCGGTCCCCTGAGCCTAGAGGACCTCAGGTGAGAGCCGACGCGGCCCCGACAGCCTCCCCGCCTCGTTTCCCAGGCGGACCCCCTGAGGCCTAGAGACTGGCACAGCAAGTCAGTTGGGCAGCCTGCCGCGCATCCAGCCTCCCTCAGCCGCGCCAGGGTTCCTTCCCCGGCCACTAGCCCCGGCCTCGAGGCACCGGACAGCACCCGGGTTGAAGGGCTCGGGTGGTAGTGAGTGGAGGCAGGGGACACCGGACTGGCGAGGTGGTGTGGGAGGCTCTGTTCCAGTGCAGGTTAGCGTCCCTTCCCCGCTTTCTGCTTAGCTGCTGCCTGAATCTGGGTCGCAGAGTTTGCAGATTGCTTGGCAGAGGGGAGACACTGAGAGGACCACGTCAGGAACTCCTTTTGGGGTGCTGAGCGCCGGGCTGGGCTACGGGGGAGCGGGCAGGACGAGACCCGGCCCCGCCCTCCGGGCCTTTCAAGCTGGAGGAAGGGAGGACTACTGGGCCCTGCCTTTTTCAACAATGTTGAGGAAAATTACAACCTAGGCTTTGTGAGAGCCTGCTAAGTGCCCTAGGCAACTGCTGTATTTACTTTACATCATTGTTTCTCATCCTTTTTTTCTTACCAACCCCTTCCCCTTGAAATTTTAATACTGCTGATAAAAGGACCACGAATCGTGCTTAACGTGTCATTTCATTTAAGTCCTATGATTTAGTTCCCACTGTCCCTGTTTTCACTTTAGGAAATTGGAGCTTGAGGAGGTTAAGCAGCACCCCAGAGTCACACAGCTAATAAATGGGGAGCTCAGGTTCAAACCTGTGCAGTCACTCTCCAGGGCACACATTCCTTGCCACTATCTGTTTTACTTCTCCAAGAGAAGAAGATCCAGGGAGTTCCAGGTTGTACAAAAGGTGACAGGATTAACTGGATACCTGACCAAGTGGAGCTACCACAGGAAACCCCTGACCCCAGGTTTCCCCTGGGAGGGGATTGGGAGTGGGAGGCTTCTTGAAGCAGGTGGCATCTGAGCGAGGCCTAGAATATATCAATAGAACTTACACAGGAAGAGCAGCATGTCAGACAGAGCCCATTGTGGTGAAATTCTCCATTTCTACCTCGTAGCATTCACAAAACACTAGTTTTTGTGTATAATTATAATTTTTAATATTTTATTTATTTATGCACGCATGCATGCTGTGCCAGGTCTTAGTTGCGGCACGCAGGATCTTTAGTTGCGGCATGCGGACTCTTAGTTGCGGCATGCATGCGGAATCTGGTTCCCCTGCCAGGGGTCAAACCCGGGCCCCCTGCATTGGGAGTGCACAGTCTTACCCACTGGACCACTAGGGAAGTCCCTGGGTATAATTTTAACCTGATCTTTTTCAAACATTGTCATCGACCACATATCTTTCAAGTTCGTTTTATATCTGTCCTAATGTCTTTCTTCCAAGGTGTGTCAGCGTCTAGGACCAGGGAACTTCTGCTGTCCAAGAGTTTGAGTTCCTCAGTCTACATTCCAATCCTGTGGAATGAGAGAGGAGCCGGTTAGGCCTGATTCTGCGCCTGAGTTCTCAAGGAAAACCCAGACTCTGCCCTGGGGAACAAACTGAATCCTGAGCTTGAGGACATCAGCAAGTGTGAAGAGCAGAGAGTGGCAAGAATGAGAGGGGGGTCATTCCACATACACAGGAGAGCAATTTCCCGCAGGTCAGGGTACAGAAAGCAGAGGGGCAGAGAGCACGGGGATACAGTGCCAAGGGCAAGGCCCCCAGAGGAGGCCAGAGAGTGGGGAGATGGGTGCCGGCAGGTGGGAAAGCTCCTGAGATAAGACCCAATGATCGGGGGAGCTGCAGCAGGCAGAGAGGCCCCTGGAGGAGACGGAGGGGCAGTGGAGGTCAGGCAGGCTGAAGCAGTCAGGGAGACTTTTTCGAGGAAGGGGAGTATCAGGAGGGTTCTTGAGGCCTTTTGGGGAAACTGAAACCAGAGCGGGGGGCAGGGATGTTTCCACACAGACCTCTCATGGCTCTCCAACAGTCTGCAGAAATCCCCAGAGGCTGTCACAGGTGGCGGGGCAGAGCACTGTACACTGAAGCAGCATGTGGAAGCCAAGTTACAGATATTTAAGCTCACCTGCCCCATCTTGACCCTTGGTTCACCTGTTGTGCGTGGGGGTTATGGGTACGCAGCAACCCATCTCCTTCACTTAACCAATGAGCTGCCACGGGGCTGATCTGGGGCTTGTCCCACACTGGGTCCCCTTTGTGAATGATCCCCGCCGGTCCCAGAGAAGTGACACTTGTTAAACGAAAATGTCCTAATCAAGGGTCGGTTGGTGGCATTAACCCATAGACGCTTATCCCAGGACAGGAAATGAAGTTAATTTCCTTAAGGTTTATAGGTTCACAAAGTCAAATATCTGACCACAGTTTTAATATCTTCTGGAAAAAAGAACCCCCAGCCAATAAGGCTGCATTCTTTCTTTCTGTTTACTAGGTTGCACAAAGCAGTTGAAGAGGGAAAAATTCAGCATTTGTCCACATCCTCAGGGTGGGACCTTACACAACCCACTTAGCCTCTCTGAGCCCATTTCCCCACATGTCAAAGATAAGTCCTCCCTGGGGTCCCCTTCTCCAAGCTGGTGATACAAAGCCCATTGAAGTCACAGGTGTGAAGTGGAAGTCCTTTAGGAACTGTCCGTGCCATGGTTCCAGGTGGCTTATTGTCCACTTGTTGCTGAGCTGATCCAACTTTAACCTGAACTTCTCTTGCTGTTTGTTTTTCATCCTAGTTCACTGAAATCGAGGAACATGATAAGGAGGTGGCTGGTTATTTTTAGCCTTTTTCCCCTGAAGCTCATAGAGAAATGTGGTAAGTTGAGAAGTGGATAAAGAGGGAAATGGAGTAAGTAGCCTGACTTGTTTGCCGCCAAAAGTTCAGGACCATCCAGCTTGCATGTGTCTGCCTGCCCCTTGGCCAGGTGGGCACCCAGTGAGTGGAGCAGACCGAGGTCTGGAGTCCAGGAGTTTTACAGGGAGCCAGATGGTTCCACAGATAATTAGCCTTCTGCCCCGGGGTCCCTATTCCCTTTTCTGTATCACCAACATCAAACTGTGGAGCTCTGAAAATCTGGGATAATATCTGTAGAGAAGAGCTTGTGTTCCCACCCTGTAGACCTCAAAGAGGGGAGTTATGGGTCCTGGGAGATGCTGCAGAAGCAGGTGAGGTGGCCACCTTGTTGCACCTGGTTCTGCCAAGCGGTAGACACCTGCTGAGGAGCCTGCCCGGCATTGCCTGGTATGATAAAGCTCTTCCCTTAGACAGGGACCGAGGAACCAGAATGAAGCAGGGCTAGGGGCCTCACAGAATTCAGGCTGGTTGTCGAAAAACACGTCAGGGTTTGTGCATCCTTGTGAGGCTTGACCTTCAGAGCAGGGCCCTTAGAGGCCTGTATCATTCCATCGATTCTCCACTGCCCAAACATTGCTGAAATTCCTTCCACAAAAAGCTGCGTAGAGCCTCCATGGACACCAGGCCCATTATTTTGATCATCTGGCTGTTGTCAAAAATCAAATACATCTTGGGAATTCCCTGGCAGTCTAGTGGTTAGGACTTGGTGCTTTCACTGCCAAGGGCCTGGGTTCAATCCCTGGTCAGGGAACTAAGATCCCACAAGCCTTGCAGCGCAGCCAAAAACAAATCAAATACATCTTAAAACCCCCAGCTAAAGTTTCCAAATTAACCTTATACAAACTGTGCAAACCCTTGCCAAAGCTTCCCAAGAGCCACGCGCAGTGGGTGCACTGCTCCAATTATTTGGCCTCTTGAGCTTCTGAGAAAACACAGGTCATCTGATCAGCTCTTCCAGGTTTGTTAAACAATCAGTCATGTCACCTTGTAGTCACACCTTGCGGGTAAGCAATTTCCGAGAAAGAAGAGGTTTCTTCCAAGAAAGAAAGAACACCATGGAGTCCGGTGTTCTTCCATACGAATGCCAGAGCCCCACTCCAGACCTGCCGGATCATATTGTCTGGGACTAAGGCCCCAAAGTGTGTACATGAGCCTTGGCCCGCTTTAAATAAAGCTCCATTAGTCATGCTAATGCACTGCCCTAGGAAAGAAGAACAAATCCAACTGCCACCACTCGATTATACAGAGGGCTGACTTAGGCCCAAGGAGGGTAGAAGTCTCTCCCAAACTTGTCTCTGCTTTCGGGAGTGGTAATAGAGGACCAATGATGAGATCATTTGCCTTCAGAGTTTTTTGCCCCTGACTTCTTTGGGTGGAATCTTGAGGTGCTGCCACCTAGTGGCAAGGACCTGCGCTCTGGACCAGGCTGGCCTAGGTTTAAATCTTGCCTCTACCGTTTCTGAGCTGTGTGAGCAGGACACTTGCCCTCATGGGTTTCTCCACTTTCTTCTATCCGAAATAGGGATCACGTTGCCCGTCTCTCACTGTTATAGTAATTTGAGAATGGGAGTTCACAGTACAGCAGAGTGGCTGGCGTGGGGTGGGAGGCATAGTGGGAGATGTGCCAATAAGGATTAGTTTTTAAAATGCAAAGACTCTCCTTGGGGGAACCTTCAGGTAGTCTCACCAAGACTCATTTGGTTATTCGGATGTGGTGTCCAGAGACTCCTGCCCTGGGGCAAACTTTAAAACATGCTTTCCCAGGATATGATATGATGCCAGCTTGCTAACTGCCTTCCATCTTGGGCTAAAAAATGTCCTGCAGGGTTTACATGATGATAAGAATAGTCACCAGCAATTATTTCACACTGAGGCTGTGTGGAAATTGCATCACAGACGTCACCACGCTTTATCTTCACAGTGCCCCTGGGAGGGAGGTAGTGCTGTGCTCTCCATTTCACAAGTGAGGAAATGGAGGCTCAGGGAGGTTAAGTACCTTACTCTCGGTCACACAGCTAAGAAGTGACAGAGCCAGGAGGGAACTGTGTGACCCAGAGCCCAGTCTCTCAGCTGCTGAGCGCTGCCATCTTCCTTGGGGCTAAGTGAGGGGAAGTGGTTGAACTCTGACTTGGTTCTCTGAGAGCTCACAACCTCCTTTTTTAAAGTTCAAAGTCTGGAAGAGTTAAGGCCATGCGGATCTCCCACTCACCCTGACCACAGTCCCAGCAGAGCCCCAAGGGACCCAGAATGTGGGTGGCTACCTGGCATCACTTTCAGTATCCCTGTCCTGGGCAGGGTCTTGCTTATCTGATGTGGTCCTCAGGCTCTAGGTAGAAAGTAACAGCAGGGACCTTTAAGTCCTCCTACCTCAGCTGTGCAGCCCAGAACAGAGCCTCGGGCTGGTATGAGAGAGGTGAGTGTGAACAAGGAGGGGCAGAGCTGCCTCCAGGCCCCAAAGATACACCTAAGGAGGGGGTGGTGGGTGGGGACCATCCTACTCTGCTCTGAGCAGCTTGGCCTCCCAAGGGCCAGGGTGGGGACTGCAACCGACTGTGGGAATCAGCTTGGAGACTTGCAGGCATGGGCCAGAGCCTGCATCTGCATCCACCTGCAGGCCAGCCTGGACAAGGCGGCTCAGGTGGGGTCTGAGAGGTCCCGGGTCACAGAGCCAGGCCCCGGAGTGCAAGTTTCAGGCTGGCAGGTTCCCTTGGAGGAGATGAGGTTACTCTCCACCCCCCCCTCCCCTCCCCCGAGGTGTCCGGACAGAGGAAGAGAAACTACTAGGGAGGAGGACTGAGAAGGGGCTCAGACAGTGGAGGTTGAATTAGGGAACTTTTAAGTTTCCTTCCAACCTGAGCACCTAAAATTTCAGTTCTTCGTCTCTGCCTTTGAGGGGTCTGGGGAGACCTGGAGGAAGAGGGAGACCTGGGCCCCACCTGTAGCCACTACCCACACAAGGACCATCTTCATCAAACTGAACACCTGCTTTCCCCCTGTGGACAACCCCCTTCCCAGCCCAGTCTATGTTCATGATCACACCTTAGGTTGCGAAGGCCCTCAGGTGAGGGAGGTGAAGTAGACGCGTGCCTGGGGCACTGAGAACACCTGGGGCGCCGGGGCTGCCCAGAGAACACAGGAAGAGGTCAGAGAGAAGATAACTCACTCCTGGTCTGTGACCAAGTTGCCCTGGAGTGTTTGGTTTCCCGAACCTGCTTCCTCCCTCACCCCCGAGGCCTATCCGTCTACCTCCTGAGTTAGCATCTTAATGCCAAGAAGAAATCTCCCATAGTGCAACCATGTACTGTTCACCAGTCTCCCGCATCCCCAGCAGAGTCAGCCTCCGGAAGGGGATCAATGAATGGGGTGAGCTGGGTTTGTACAGGAGCCCAAAGGCGGTTCTTTAGAAACAGGTTAGCTGGGCCCCAGGTGTCTCTCTGAGACTACAGGAAGGGACAGGACCGGTTTTGCAGGGCCAGTTTAGCTCCATGAACAGAGGAAGCCATTGTGCTTTCCATCTGAAGAGGTGGTTTAAGCCCACGTGTTCCAGTCCCAGATTGTGGCTTGATTTCCTTTGGGCCAGTTGGGCCAAAAACTGGGACCAGTTTTGGGGCTCCATGGTTTCTATTTCTGCGTGACTCCTACAGACCCTCAGAGCTCATCGGTGGGAGAGGAGGAAGCTACAGCATCTCCTCCTCAGGCCTGTGTCTCCCTCTGTTTCTGGCAGCAGGAGGGGAGAGAGCATAACAAGGACATTTCCAGTCCCATCACTTACTTAGCCCCTCAGAATCTCAGAGTCTTTGCCTAGGGGATAGAGGTGGTTATAAATCAGACTTCGCAAGTTCAAGTGTCAGGGGCCCTCCTCCCAGCGTCTCAGTAGGCCTGAGTTCTCTGACTTCATGACTCATGCCACTGATTTGGGTCGTTCCAGAGTCCACAGTCAACTTCTCTGTTCCTCCCACCGTGAAGCTGGAAAATGGAAGCTCCACCAACGTCAGCATCTCCCTCCCGTAAGTTCCCAGGCCCAGCTTTGTCCTCAGCCCAGCTCGTTCACCCCACAGCTGGGTCAGGGCTGACCCCCAGCTCAGTCTGTTCATATTTTAAGTGTGATGCCCTTGCCTCTTCACTTTAAGACGAGCCAGGGAAAGAAAGGCAGCGGCCCTAGGCTGCAGACCGAGGTCCCAAAGTCTCTCTCTCCCCAACCGCTGAATCCTTGCTTCCAGCGGGAGGAGGATGACACGTGAGCCTTTTCCCCAGCTGAGAAGAGTCCTTGAGTGACCAGCAGTTGATGCCAGACTTCCAAGTGGTCTTTTCCAAGGTTCGAAATATTTGAAGAGAGCCCTGGAGGTTGGGGGCAAGGAGCTAAGTCGCTTGGCAGTGCTTCTGAGATCACATCCAACTGCATTGGGTGGATCCCACTGTGCAGTGCTCCTGCTGAGGCTTGTCTGAGAGTCTCTCTAGCTGCCCTCTGCTGGTTCCCACACAAGGGTGCCGACCTAGTCCAGACCGTGCCAGAGAGCCTACCTCCTCTGTATCCTTCCCTGCTTTGTCCAACTCTTGCCTCCCAGCCATGAGGATTACCCAAGATGAAGATCCGGAACGCTGTTATTTTTTTCTCTTTACCCTTCTCCCTTTCCCTCACCTCTCCCAGGACGTCTGATCTCAAACCAAAGCTTTGGGACCAAGGCTCCCTAACAGACCCGCATTCCATCCCCAGATCCTGCCATTTCTGCGCATCAACACCTTGTGAATCTGACACATCACCCCCTCAGCACAACTCTCCCCTCTGCAGAATCCTTAAGCGGCTTTCCACCACCTTCCAAATTAACTCCAGGCCTCTAAGCCCAGACTTGAGGTCCCTATGGGCTGCTCCCACTCAGACATATCTCACTGCTTTCCAGGGATGCTGCTCCCTGCCACCTGACCCTTCTCAGAAGCCTTTCCCGCCAGAGCAGATGCCATGGTCCTGTCGGCCTCTGGACACCTCATGTGGCATTCACAGCCAGTTTCCCACCTTCTCGTGTTCTCACTGGCCACAGGGGCCCCACCTCTCAACCCCCCAGGGCCAAACACATAGCAGTGCCTCACCCTAATTGCTTGAGAAATGACAGGCCTGCTGTGAAATCCAGAGGGCAGGTTGAGATCTCACAGAGTACAGCTTCTCAGCAGTAACCAGACTCTTGTCCTCCACAGGCGTCCTTTAAATGCAACCTTGGTGATCACTTTTGAAATCACATTTCGTTCAAAAAACATTACTATCCTTCAGCTCCCTGATGAAGTAAGTAATGAATCATAACTGATGGGCAGAAAACTAATGGATAACAAAACATGTTTTAACTCAGTGCTTGTGTAAATAGGCCACCTTGTTTTTATACCGTGGGCTGCCCCTGTCCTATTATTCTAGAAATCTCAGATTTGGGATTTGTTAGTCTCTTTGAGGATGGACTTTTTATGCTATGTAGATGGAATTAGGAAGGTGATGGTAAGAAATCTGAGGCAGAAACGGTTCTGAGAATGTAGAAGAAATTCTTAAGATGGTTTTTTAAGACATTGCTGCTCAAAGAGCAACCACGGACTAGGAGAATTGTCTCTGCTTTAAAATCTTTTCTTTTTCTTTTCTTTTTTTTTTTTTTTTTCTTTACACGGGCCTCTCGCTGTTGTGGCCTCTCACGTTGCAGAGCACAGGCTCCGGATGCACAGCCTCAGTGGCCATGGCTCACAGGCCCAGCCGCTCCGTGGCATGTGGGATCCTCCCGGACTGGGGCACGAACCCGCGTCCCCTGCATCAGCAGGCGGACTCTTAACCACTGCGCCACCAGGGAAGCCCCTATTTTCTTTTTAATTGAAGTATAGCTGATTTACAATGTTATGTTAGTTTCAGGTGTACAGCAAAGTGATTCGGTTATACATACACATATGTATATATATTCTTTTATGTATATATTCTTTTTCAGATTCTTTTCCCTTATAGGTTATTACAAAATATTGAATGTAATTCCCTGTGTTACACAGTAGGTCCTTGTTGGTTATCTGTTTTATATATAATAGTGTGTATATATTAATCCCAAACTCCTAATTTATCCCTCCCCGCTAAAACTTTTTAGAAATGCCCTATCCCAGACCTACTGATTAAAAATCTGCATATAAGCAAGATTCCCCAGATGATTTGGGTCCACATTAAAGTTTGCAAAGCACTGTTCTGAGATCCCATTGGATGAATGTTATTTCCAAAAACCAGTGCCAGAGGCCCAGAGGCTGTCTGATATAATAGTGATGACTATTTATAGTCTTTATATATTTATCTGTTAATACATACCCTGCTTCCACCTTACCAAGGTTTTGAGCCAATTACCAATCAACCTGATTTTAAAACAAATCAGCAGGGGGAAAAAAGAAACCAGACAAGATGAACACAGGGATGAAATTGATAGCCATGAGGCTCAGCATGAGGCCCTGTGTGGTTGTAGAAATGAGCTGCAAATCAGCTCTGAGCCCCCTAGCAAGCAAACAGTATTGACTCATGATCAGATAAAGAGTGTCTACCTAAAGGACCTGAGTGAGAGGGGAGTCTCATCTCATAGGGCCATTTCCCACAACCTCCCCCTCCTGCCCTGGGATATGAGGCCTGCTGCAGGGTAAGAAAAGCCGTTGGCTCTAAGAACAGGTTGTGGTATTTAGCCCTCAGAGGTCTGGCTTGATCCACAGATCAAATTTAGACTCTGAGGAAAGGATGCTGATTACTTAGTTTAAGGGCCAAACATCTAAGGGAAAGATTAATCTTTTAAAAATAAGTGAGGGCTTCCCTGGTGGCGCAGTGGTTGAGAATCCGCCTGCCGATGCAGGGGACACGGGTTCGTGCCCCGGTCTGGGAAGATCCCACACGCCGCAGAGCAGCTGGGCCCGTGAGCCATGGCTGCTGAGCCTGTGCGTCTGGAGCCTGTGCTCCGCAACGGGAGAGGCCACAACAGTGAGAGGCCTGCGTACCGCAAAAAATAATAATAATAAAATTAAAAATTTAAGTAAATAAATAAATAAATGAAAGTCAAACAAAAACATAAAGCAAAAAAAAAAAAAAAGCCTGGACTGTATGATTAAAGTGCAAACACAGACAAAGCAAATCTATGGTGTTAGAAGAGTGGTTTCCCAACCAGTTTGCAAAGGAGAAATAGAGACACACATGTAGAGAACAAACATATGGACACCAAGGGGGGAAAGCGGGGGCAGGGGTGGGGGAATGAATTGGGATTGACATGTACACACTAATATGTATAAAATAGATAACTAATAAGAACCTGCTGTACAAATAAATAAATAAAATACTCCTATAGTTAAAAAAAAAAAAAAAATAGTAGTTTCCTTTTGGGATCAGCGGTGACCAAAAGGGAACAGAACACGGCTTCTGGGGTCTGGAAATGTTCCATTTCTTGATCTGGGTGCTAGGTGCACTTTTCTGCACCTATGTTGTAGTTCATTTTTTTTTTAAGAATTTTATTTAATTTTATTTATTTATTTATTTTTGGCTGCGTTGGGTCTTCGTTGCTGTGCACAGGCTTTCCCTAGTTGTGGCAAGCGGGGGCTACTCTTCGTTGTGGTGTGCGGGCTTCTCATTGCGGTGGCTTCTCTTGTTGTGGAGCACGGGTTCTAGGCACGCGGGCTTCAGTAGTTGTGGCGCGCGGGCTCTAGAGCGCAGGCTCAGTACTTTTGGTGAACAGGCTTAGTTGCTCCATGGCATGTGGGACTTCCCGGACCAAGGTTTGAACGCTTGTCCCCCACTGCGCCACCAGGGAAGTCCCTAGTTCAATTTTTTTATTTTTATTTTTTTTAGTGTAATGGTGGCAGATCCATTTGTAGAATGACCTATCTGGGCACCAACCCACTCTTCCAGGCTTATGCCTCCTTGACCCATCCCTTTCTCTAACTACTCCTGTCTACTCCCTGTGCCTTTGGAAACCACTGGGTAGAACTTGGGGGTCAGGCAGACGGTCTAGGAGCCTGCGCTGTGAACCACAGGTGAGGTGCATCACCCCGACACATCTCAGTTTCCTCATCTGTGGACAGAAGGTTAATAATGTCTCCTTGACAGGGCTGTGAGGATTAAAAGCAGTAGCAAGTATGAAATGTCTAGGATTGCAGCTGGCACATAGAAAGAAAGCACTCAGAAAAAAGATAGCAATAAATTTTGCTGTGGACCTAAAACTGCTCTAAAAGATAAAGTTTATTGATTAAAAAAATTAAAAGCAGGACTTCCCTGGTGGCGCAGTGGTTAGGAATCCACCTGCCAATGCAGGGGACACAGGTTCGAGCCCTGGTCCGGGAAGATCCCACATGCCACGGAGCAACTAAGCCCACGTGCCACAACTACTGAAGCCTGCACGCCTAGAACCCGTGTTCTGCAACAAGAGAAGCCACCACAGTGAGAAGGCTGTCGACACAACTAGAGAAAGCCCACGTCCAGCAATGAAGACCCAATGCAGCCAAAAATAAAAATTAATTAATAAAAAAATTAAAAGCAATTGTTATGATTTCATTCTGCCTTGTATCAGTTAATTTCCAATTGGAAGATTTTCCTCTTACCTAGTTCTACAAGGGACCTGGTGGCCACTTAGAAATATGCAAACAACAGTTGCCAGGAAAATCTGCTAAAAATAAGAACAAATGAGGATGGGAAGGTAAAAGAGCCAAGAGTAGTACGTGTCATGAAGACGTAGCTCACGAGACATCGGCCACGAACTGGATCCCAGGCTTTGCAGCAGCTCCTTACACCATTTCAATTGTCCTGCCAAAGCCCCCTGATCTCTGGGGATAAGAGCAGAAGGACAGTGTTCAAGGGTCCCTGAAGAAGCCACTGCCATCCACTGAGCCGCATCCTCACGGCGCCCACAACATGGGTGGAAGGCGGGGCCCGAAGCATCATCCAGGGAACAAAGAGATGGGGGACAGTGTGGTTCAGTAAAGGTATCATCCCACTCCCTGCCACACTCGGGATTTGAGAGCATCAGGAAGCATGATTGGGAGGTCAGAAGTTGCAGGTAGGCCTCCGAGTACTGTTTCTTGGAGCAGAGCTTTCTATGAATATTGGGCAGAAATGAGTGTAAGGATGTTCTCCCTGCCGGGCGTCTGGTGTGTGCACCTCTTCTGTTTGTCGCTTGGCAGCCAGGCTCGGCGTGGGGCAGACATCCCTCTGTGGATCTGGAAGAGCCGTCCGTAGTAACGGAAGTAGAGGTAATAGCAGTCATCGTAGGGTAGTAGTGATGGTAACCACTTCACAGCTTGCTGCGTGTCAGGCTCGGTGCCGTAAGCTTTATGGACATTATGTCGTTCAGAGCAGCCCTGTAAGGTAGACACTTGTGTTATCCCCTTTTACAGATAAGCAAACCGAGATCAGAGCTCAAATAACTTGCCCGAGATCGAATGGCTAGTGAGATGAAGAGGGCCCCCCCCACCATCCCTCAGAGATAAGCCAGGGGAGTCTGACACTGATGTGTGGGGGCTCCAGCTGGCTGACGAGTCCAGCATGTCTCCCTCCTGTGAGGAAGCTCCTGGAAGGCAGGGGCTGTGTGTGACCGGTCCCTCCATTCCCTAGTGCATGGCCTGGAGCTGGGGTCCCAATAACTCCGGGGCGCTGGACCTGATTCAGTTTTCCTAACAGGTTGTGGTCCCTCCTGGCGTGACAAATTCCTCTTTTCAAGTGACGTCTCAAAATGTTGGACAAGTTACCACTTATCTGCACGGAAATCACTCCAACCAGACCAGGTAGGCTGGCCTCTGCCCGTGTGGGCCCTAAATGATGAGAAGGGGGATGGTGCTGGCACGTGGGGTTTCCTCCAGAAGTCCAGCCCCAGCTCATCCCGGTCCCCACATTCTCTCCAGCCCAAGGATACTCTTCTCCGTGATCCACAGCAATGTCGTCAGCATCATAAACCAGGTGATCGGCTGGATCTACTTTGTGGCCTGGTCCATCTCCTTCTACCCGCAGGGAATCACCAACTGGAGGCGGAAAAGGTAACCCACGGAGCTTCTCGTGCAGCTTCACCTGGGGCCGGTAGGATGGGCATTCCCACGAGGCTGTGGGCAGCCTGGGTTCTGACTTACCCCTCTGCTCTTCTTCCTTCCTATCCTTTCTTAAAAGTGGTCTGATGTGAAAGTTCTAAGCGCCTGTGTAGGACTTGCAGTGCTGGGCATTTGGTCTCTTGTGCAATTCAGCCCCTCCCTGCGAAAGCAACAAAATGGGGCTTCTCAGTGGAAGTGGAGAAGGGGCTGGGTGGGAGGAGCCCACCTGAATCTGCTGGGCTCCTGGTCCACGGAGCCCTGGAGGAGTTAGTGTCAAGTTGTGCCCCAGTGCAGGAGTTGGATCCTTCGGCCTCAGAGACGAAAACCGGCCCACCTTGATTTTAAAGACAAGGGCCCAGGGCTTCCCTGGTGGCGCAGTGGTTGAGAGTCCGCCTGCCGATGCAGGGGACACGGGTTCGTGCCCCAGTCCAGGAAGATCCCACATGCCGTGGAGCGGCTGGGCCCGTAAGCCATGGCCGCTGGGCCTGCGCGTCCAGAGCCTGTGCTCCGCAACGGGAGAGGCCACAACAGTGAGAGGCCTGCGTACCGCAAAAAAAGACAAGGGCCCAGGCATCATGCACCAAGGACACCTAGGCCACCAAGGAACGTGGGCCTCTGAGGGGCTGCTGAGCTGGGAACCAGGGAGGGAGGTGCTTCCTCTCTGCAGGAAGCCTCCAGACAATCCCAGGAGGGTGGGGTTCGGTGGCATTGGGGGTGGCATGGAAAGGGACCTGAGGACTGTGCTCTCCTTGAGGGAGCCAGGCCCTCCTTCCTGTGTGCTGGGAGCTCTGTCCCCTCCAGCCCCCGGCGGCCCCCAGTCTCACCCCCTGCTCTGCTTTGTCTCCCCATCCCCCCGCCCCCCTCCTCAGTGTCGTGGGTCTGAGCTTTGACTTCGTGGCCCTGAACCTGATGGGCTTCGTGGCCTACAGCGTGTTCAACATCGGCCTCCTCTGGGTGCCCTCCATCAAGGTACGGCCCTGCTCACCCCCGCAGCCCAGTCCAAGCTGTCCGGTGGTCTGGCCACCCCTCACCCCCCAGCTTCTCCCCACTCCCAAACAGGAGCAGTTTCTCCTCAAATACCCCAATGGCGTGAACCCCGTGGACAGTAATGACGTCTTCTTCAGCCTGCACGCGGTCGCCCTCACCCTGGTTATCGTGGTGCAGTGCTTCCTGTACGAGGTGAGCAGTGACCCTGGCACCCGCCGCAGCCCGCGCTGCCCAGGCCAACACCCGGCAGCACCTGCAGCCCATACCTGCCGTTTTACAGGAGACATGGGAACCCCCAGAAGGGAAGTGTGCCCGCTCACTCACATCTGCTGGTCTATTATCCAGACCCCGCTGCTGGGCACAGGGAACACCCCGTAAGCCCAAGTACTCAGGCCGCCCCAGGTCTGGGCTGAGGGACACAGACGGAGGCAGTGATGACCCAGCAGGCTGAGAGCTGAGCGGGCAGGGAGAGCACAGGTAGCTCGTGGGCCCCACGACTCAGCCAGGCAGGAGGGGGAAAGAGGGCACTGAGTTGTGGTCCGAGGGATGAGTGAAGTTCCCATGGCGATGCGGAAGAGGGCCAGGGTGGGGGCACCCCAGCCGGCGGACAGAACTGTGAAGGCCAGGGAGCAGCGAGAGGGACTGCGAGCAGATGGGGTGGCCAGGGTGGCGGTGGAGGGAGCAGGAGAGGCCCTGAGGGGCTCTGGGGGCCGGGCTGAGGAGCCCGGGCACAGCTGTGCTGCTGGAGGGCCGTCTGCTGTCTCAGCAGGGAAGGACGTCGTGAGTTAGTGTGTATTTCAGGGCATCGCTGATGCTACTGTTTCCTTTCACTTCCCTGTGGGTGCACCACTTCCCTTGGGGAGTTCTCTTCCCACACACAAGGCCGGCCAGAGCTGCTTGGCCCCCACCTTCACGAATCTTCTAGGTTTTCTTACCCTTTGCTGAGAAGGTTAGATGAGGGAGGCCTGCTTTTGGGAAAGAGATTCCAGAGCCAATCAGGCTCCCTGGGGTCGTGGAAGGAGCCTGGGCCGAGATGAGGTGCCAGGCCTCCAGCGTGATGGGGGCCATGTCCCCAGCACCCTTCACTCCTGGTGGGCTCTGAGAGGGACCCCGCTCTGCAACATGGGAACAGGAAGCAAACGGGCTCTTCAGGTCCAAGAGGATGGAACCAGAGACCCTGATAGTGACAAGGTGCAGTTGGTGCTGGGCTCTCTGCACCCCACCCATCCCTTCCCCTGCCCTGTCTCATCCTCAGCGAGGCAACCAGCGGGTGTCCTGGCTGGCTATTGGCTTCCTCGTGCTCTCCTGGCTCTTCACACTCATCACCCTGATCATGGCCGCTGTCAGGGCCACCACGTGGCTGCAGTTTCTCTTCTGCTTCTCCTACATCAAGCTGGCAGTGACGCTGGTCAAGTATTTTCCACAGGTACCTCCAGGGTCTGCCCGCCTTTTCCACAGGTACCTCCAGGGTCTGGCCGTTAGCGTGAGAGGGATGAGACACAGACCCTGGACCCGGCTCCCTTGGGGCAGCTTCTGGCCGGGGTGAGATGTGGATGGAAAGCTACAGGGAGGAGGCTGGCAAGCCCAGCAGGAGTGGGGCCTCACAGAAAACCGGCTGTGACCAGTACCTGCTCTTCCCAGGGGCCGGGAATCCCACGGGGAAGTCAGTGGCCGCTTCTCTGATTCACGCTCAGCTCTGAGAGTCAAGGGTTGTGCAAGTCACTCCCATCTCTCTCCAGCCCCACCTTTCTAATGACTTCAGCTTTGCCCCCCCACCCTACCACCACCACCCATTACCACCAACTGATGACCCTGATGAGCCACAGCAGGGTACCAGGAAGATGAGGTGGGAGGGGGGAACCCACCACCATTCAGGGTCCTCGTTGTGAGCCCTTAGCACCCTCCCTCGAGTACTCAAACAGTCCTATTCAGAGCTGGGTCAGACACAGCCTAAGAGTCAAACACAGCTTGCCCCACAGGTGGAATGGCCCGGGAGAGGGTCAGGTGTAGAACTGTTAACTGCAGGCTGAATCTAGGCCCTTGCCTTTAACTCGCCTTCCCAGCACAGGGAACCTTGTGTTCCATGGGCCCAGGAAGGAGAGCATTTTGGCGAGGGTCAGGGCCAGTACCCTGGAGGGCATGGAAACAGAGCCATCCGCTTAAGGATGAGCAGGACTCAGTTCTGTGGACAAGAGAGAAGGGGCGCTCCAGGCCGGGGTAGCCTGCACAAAGGCACAGGCACAGAAGACCTTGTGGGCGGGGCACTGTGAAGCTAGGAAGGCGGGACCAGGTCCCAGGGCGCTTGGGAAGGTGGCTTCAGAGTCGGGGGATGGCTTTGGGGGAAGTGGGGCCTTAGTCCCTGAGCGTGGGGAGGCTTGGGCCTGGGAAACCTGGGAGGCAGGAGCCCCAGTTAGAGATGTTTGGAACCGTCCAGGACTGGAGAGGTGGCAGCAAATACAGAAGAGGGTGGGAGAGGGCAAAGAAGGGGAACTGACAGGTGGCTAACTGGGAGAAGACCACTACAGAGGCCAAGCCGTCCCCCCGGGTGGTGGGAAGGGAGGTCAACGGTCAGAGAAGCCCAGAGGGCACTGGCAGCAGGAAGAGGGGCGATGTGCAAGTGGGCTGGACCTGGGAAGCCCGAGGTGGAGGCCCTAGAGCCCAACCAGGGCTGAGGAGGGAGTTAAGTCCACTCTGCAGATGGGGAGACTAAGGCTGGGAGAACTCAAGTCACTCTCCCAGGGTAACATAGCTCCTCCGATGGTGGAGCTGGGATTCCAAACCAGGCCGTCAGACTCCCAGGCCATGTTCATAAGCACAACATGAATTCAGTCCAGGCTGAGTTTGGGGAGATTCTCCATTTGAAGGTGAGTAGAAAAATCAGAGTTGCTGGAAAGCCAGGATAAGTAGGGCTGAAGAAGATGGAGAGGCAGCAGCTCCCCATCCCTCTGCTGGAGTTTGGGAGGTGCAAGGGAAGGAGGAGGAGGGCTGTTTGCTGAGCACGCAGAGGAGACTCCAGGACCCGCCCAAACTGTGCCCTCAGTCGAGGCTTGTCAGAGCCCAAAGGTCACTGTGTTTTTGGAGCTGAGGTCCAAGCGCATGAGTGGGAGGAATGAGAGCCGCTCTTGTTTGGAGCGCGGTCACGAGGTGCAGGAGGCCACCACTCAGCCCCCTCACCGCCCTCCATCTGTCTGTCTGGCCCAGGCCTACTTGAACTTTTACTACAAAAGCACCGAGGGCTGGAGCATTGGCAACGTGCTTCTGGACTTCACTGGGGGCAGCTTCAGCCTCCTGCAGATGTCCCTCCAATCCTACAACAACGGTGAGTCAGCCGGCAGGCAGCTAGAGGCACAGGGCGGGGCCAGGCTTCCTGGAAACCACCCCTCCCCCACGCGGGGAATCCTAGCCAGTCCCAGCCCCCAAGGTGAGGCTCACCTCGGGGCTTTGGCAGCTAGAGGATTTGTGGTTTCCTGGGCAGATGAGCACCCCCGCCCCACCCCCACCCCTGCAGCCCCACGTGCTCCAGCTGCTTCAGGGGCTGCCAACCTAAAACCAAAACCAATCCCATCCCTTCTGGCTGCTAACAGACCAGTGGACGCTGATCTTTGGAGACCCGACCAAGTTTGGCCTCGGCATCTTCTCCATCTTCTTCGATGTTGTCTTCTTCATCCAGCATTTCTGCTTGTACAGAAAGAAACCAGGGTATGACCAGCTGAACTAGCTCCCAGGGACCCAGCGGAAACAGCCCAGGCCCTGGGCCCTGGTGGGCAAGTTTCCACCAGGAAGGCTGAAAAAGCCGTCTGGAGTGCCGGGCTGGCTCCATGCAGAGAAGCACTCTTCCTCAGGGCCAAACTCCTTGAACTTGAACCAGCCTGCTTTCGTCCAGGACTCTTCCAGGCCAGGGAGGAACCTACCTCTGGGATAGGCACCTGACTGTGTGCCGAGATTAATGGCCAGACCACTGGCGGCCCCTCCCAGACTCCCCAGAGGTCTCAGCCCCTCCCAGGCCTTGCTGGCCAGGCATCTGGCCCTCCTGCATCTTGATGCTGTATCTCTATTTTCTTCAAGGCTTCAGGCAGCTGTCCCAGGCAGGATTGAGCACTGAGCTTGGAGCCAAAGGCCTGGTCCCAAGCAACGAGTGTTTCTGGAAGCAGCTTGAAGGACTGACCTTGCAGCTGGGAGAGCCAAGGGTGCTTTGCTGCCACTGCTGTGTTCAGAGACCAAGCAGCCAGGTGCCGTGGCCAATAGACCCGAGGTGCTGGTGCTGGTGGCAGGGGGGCTAGGACTTTGGGGTTAGGCCTTGGGTACCTCCTCTGAAGGCTGCATTCTCTGAGCACTCACTGTCCTGACACTCAATTCTACGTAAACCCACTTTCACGACTGCAATCACAGGTGGCCCAGCCCAGGCTCTGGTAAAGAAACAGTATTTCTGAGCCTTGAGGTACCCAACAGATTGGTTCAGAACCGGGCTCACATCCAATACTCTCTGGATCCTTATCACACTAACGACCCTTTTGGATTTTTCAGAGGGATGTTTTGGAAGTGAGTGGCTTACTTTCTTCTGCTGCTGCCTATCTCCACTTACCCATAGTCAGGCCCCAAGCCCCTCCAACTGCTCCTCACCCTGAGTCTGGACACACACACACACACCAGTCTGTGCCTTAGACGCCTGTTAGACTTGCCAGGTGGTGAAAACAGCTCCCCTGATGGGGAGGGCAGGCCCCCTTCCCTCCCCAGACCCCTACCTGAGACTCACCAATTTGTGGCTATTCAGGAGCCTCAGATAAGGACTTAAGACCAACTTACACAATCCTTATGGGCCCAACCTGATCCCAAAGCCCCTCCTTTCCCACTCCAAGCAGTTGTCCTTCCTTTGGAGGAGGGGAGGGGAGGGGAGGGTCCCAGGACATGCCTTGTACATGCCATGAGCTTGTCAATCCACTCTCGTAGTTAACCACGAGATCAACATGAGGGGCTTAATTAAACCTGATTCATTTCCTCTGCACACTGAGCATTTGCCAGATGCAGGAGGCAGGGGTGTTGGCTTCAGAACCAAGTCCTTGGGGCTTAGGGAGACAGCCTCAGTCACTCGTGTAAGGAAACGTGTGGGATTTTGAAGTTCGCTGATTCCAAGGTGGCTGCGTGCCGGCCCAGCATTTCATCAGGGGAGCTCTGTTGGGTGGCACAAGATGCCTACCTGCTCAGGGCCAGGTAGGTCCCGCAGGGACCCTGTCTGCATTACCAAGGGCATGGCACTCAGGCTGTGGTTGTGAGCACGGGTTGGATGAGGTCTTTAAGGGCACGTGGGAGAAGGGTGGGGGAGGAAGTCTTCCAGATCGTCTAGCCAGGTATAAGTATCAAAGAACTTAGGATCTTGTTTCCCTAAAGCAGAAATTGCAGCTTGACCAGGCCCACACGCCTGTTTTATTTGGGCCACCCAGTCTGTGATTGGGTACCACACTTTAAAGGTGGGAGATTGCAAAAATCTGACTTGGCAGTGCTAGGTGGGTCCATGAGTGGCAACAATTCCCAGAGCTGGTAATGCAGCCAGTGCTGGGCCAAGCAAAGGCCTCAGTGCTCCCCAGCTCCCCCCCATCTCCTCAGGTCACAGCCCCTGGAAACATTTGGGGCTGCATCTCTGGCTGTGCTAAACTGAATGCTCTTAAGAGTCTTAGGGGGTGGATGTTCTCCCTTGGTGTCCATGAGGTCCCTCCCCAATAGGAGCTGAGGCTAGGTTATGCGAGGGAAGTTGGGGGTTCCTGGCCCAGTTCCAGTGAAGGTACTCCCAGACGCTCCCACGCGGGTGGCCCTGGGCAAGCACAGCGTCAGCGGCCTTGGGGATAGTTGGGCTTCGTCCAGAGCAGCAGGGGCCAAGTCAGCCAGCCTCACAACCAAAGCTCTCTCACAATTCACCCCCAAATATCCCTACCTCATGTCTCAGCAAAGACCTCTGATGAATGAATTCCAGCACTGTTTATTGGGCACAAGACGTGGGGTGGCTTCCTACTGCCCCATTTCCACAGTAACCAAAGCAAGGCTGGTTCCCTTGCTAAGAGTAATTCTCAGATGTGAATTAGCCGAATTCGAAAGTTGAACTGGCATCTTCAAAGAGTACGATAAAACCACTTTGTATCAAAGTTGTGATTAAAAAAATACAAACGTTAAACCCAAAGGCATAGAGGAAAATGGCAATCCTGAGCACTGCCCTGAAATGTCAGCCTCAAACCTCATCTGAATCCTGTAAGTAGGTGAACCCTGGGGAGGCCCCCACCCCTTGGGGGGCGGGAGTGCAACGGGGTGAGCTGCGAGCCTGCCTGGCTTCCATCCGGACAAACCTTCATAGCGTCTCTGGTAGTGAGTCGAATCCCCGCTGGGAAACACAGGGAAAAGGATGGGGCACAGGCACTGCAGAGCCAAGACACGGGGGGCAGTGCCCAGCCCTGTGTTTCCCAGCTACATGGTGTTCTCAGGAAGGGGGGCCCCCTGCTCGCCTGCTGTGGCCCGGCAGCAGGGTCTGGGGGCCAAGCCTTGGTCACAGACTGGGGACTGACTCCAACTCGGCTCCAGGCCCTTGTTTCCAATCCTCAGTGTCCAAGGGAGAGAGCTGGTCCCAGAGCTTCGGGCCCATGGTGGGAGAGGGGAAGGCAGGTCAGGCCTCTGGGACCAGCTCTTGCCCTTCTAGGCGGGGGCCCAGCAACGAGCAGAAGCCAGGACGAGGGGCAGACAGAGCATGGAAGTGGTGTCGCTGTACAAAGGGCGGGCAGGCATGAGTCAGGGGCCCTGGCGGCTGCTAGGACAGCATGGACTGCTGCACGGCCTTCTGCAGCGACTGCCGCGTCACCAGCAGACGCACCACCTCCTCCGAGCGCTTGGTGAGCCGCTTCCGGGCCTGGTCGTGTGTGACCATGGTCATGTCCCAGCCGTTCACCTGGCCCAGGGAGAGAACACAGCCCACCTCAGCTTGCCACCTTCTGGGATCTGAAAGTAGGACGGGCTTTGGGAGGCCTGGGTCTCCCAAGCTGACGTGCCTGGGCTGGGGGATGCCAAGCACCCCTCACACGCACACGCAGCGGAGAGCCAGCTTCCTCTGGGGGCGACGCCAGTATGGGCTCCAAAACGACTTCGGTGATTCTCCCAGGTGCCCAGGGAGGCAGGCAGGGGCAGCCCCGCCACCCCCAAGTGCTTTAGACCCTCTGGCCCAAACCTTGTTTTCCTCCTTTGGGACATCTGTTACCTGCATGATCTTGTCCCCAATCTGCAGCCCAGCAATTTCCGCAGGGCCTCCTTCGGATACCCGTGTGACGTAAATGCCCTAGGAAGAGACAGCCCAAGTCAAGCACTGGGGTCACTGCACCGGCCTCTTATCCACAGAGCAAAGCCCAGCATGGCATACTCCTAGCCGTCTGTCTGTCCCGCACCCAGTATCCCCCAGCACAAGCTGTGTCGAACAGCCAAGGGGGAAGTAGAACAGTCCCATGGATGCTACAGCCCCTGCTGCTAGCCTCCTGGGCTCTGTCTGAGCAGGGCTTCCTAGTGCTGGGAGGGCTGGGAGGCCCACCCCTACTTATTCCCACCAGATCATTTCTTGGACCTTCTTAGGACCGTTTGAGAGAGATGAGGTCTGCTCCTTCCACAAAAGCCCAGGAAGCAGAGACCTACCATCTTAGGCCTCTGTGCCCCACAGAGAGGTCCCCAGACCCTAGTCCTCCTCACCTTGTCCGTCTTATCTTCTGAGAAAGGATTTTGGGAGGGATCCTGGTCAATTCCACCTCCAATGCTAAAGCCCAGGATTAAGTTCTCACCTTGACGCAACTTGTGAATTTCAACTCTTTGCTGGCAAAGATAAAAAATGAGTTGGGGATGAGTGGGTATGGAGAGCAAATGTGGTCTGTGTCCCCTGCAGCAGCCTCAGGCGGCTGGGTAGGCTCAGAGCCATGCCACAGGGGTGGGGCCCAGGGCCTCCTTCAGGAATCCAGCTGGTCACCAGCCTGGCAGGCTGGGGGGTTGAGACTCATAATTCAGCCACATCAACCCACCCACACAACCCTCAGTCCCAACCTCTCCCAGCTTCCTCTGTCTCAGGCACCAGCCTTCTCAACACATGCTAAGCCCCTCCTGGCCCAAAAGCCAGGGTGCTTTGGCTGCTCTGAAGAAGGGCCTATGTCCCAGCGGCGGGACCACACAGGGCAGGAGAGGTCAGGCCCTGAAAAAAAAATGCAGGCACACTGCTGAGGCAGCTCGGATTGCTGAGCCAGCCCTGTCAAGGGCAAGCCCAGAGATGCTCGGGAAAAGCCGAGATCAAACTTGCACAGAAAGGAGGAAGGCTGTCATGGCCAAAGGAACAGGAGCAGAGGCTTGAAGGTGCTATGGATACATGTCCATGAGACCGGAGTGTACAGCGCAGGACTGGAACTGGGAGGTGAGATGAGGCTGAGCCCAGGTCAGGAAGGCTGGGGAGTGCAGGCCCAGGAGACTGGCCCAGAGGGAGGGGGTGTCTCCCTAAGCCCCAGGCCCTGCTCTTGTGCAGTGGAGGAGGTGGAGGAGGGGCCTAGGGCTCTCCCACCATACTCTGAGGTTGTGGTCCCCATCTGTGCCAAGCTCCTTTCAAAGCCCTCAGCAGCCACCCTCCAGTCACCAGATGCTGGGAGCCAGACCGACTGCCCCACCCCCAAAGTTGACAGTTTTAACAGAAAGAAGAAAAACACAAAGCAAAAGGTGACTTGATCTGGACTTGAGGGGCTTCACAAAGGAGCACCAGGCAAGGCATTGGGCTGACCAGGATTTTGGCCACCTGACCTTGATTCTAGGCCCACTGGAGCTCTCAGAAATTGGGGAGTAGGGCTGGAGTCGGGCCTGATGGTAGATCATGATCAGGTGTGATGTTAGAATGACCACTCAGGCAGTTGGTAAGGGAACAGATGTCTCACAGAGGTGGGATGTGGAGGCCAGGGGACATGAGCTACATAGGAAGTGAGATCAACAGGCTCCAGACTGTTCATGGACGAAAGGAGCCAAGGCAAGCTCCTGGCTGGCCACCTGGCCTGGCTGAACACAACCATCTCCCAGATGGGGACCCGAGACGAGAAGGAGCATCTTGAGCTGGAGAGCCAGGAGCCATTCAGGCAGGTGTCCAGAGGGTAGACAGGCCTATGGAGCCAGAGTTCAGAGGAGAGGCCAAAATGGTTTTAACATTCTCAAAATGTTAACTACATGGGAGAGGGCACAGGGTAGGAAGGAGCTTCTTCCACCCCCATCCCCAATCCAAGACACAAGAGGGAGAGGCCAGACCCCACCCACCGTATTCAGACATGTTCTTAGTGTGAGAAGAATGGGAAGGTCATGGTCCTAGAGTTTTGAGGAAGGCCCGGGGACCAGTCATGACCTGCAGTAAGGGGGTTGCGGGAAGCATGACACCTGAGGCCCACTGGACCTAGGTCCTCATGTGCAAACGTGTGCGCTCCTCCAGGCCTGCCTCTGCCTCCTCTGACACACACCTTTGTGCACCTTTGACTCACCCTTAAGATCAGAAAGAAATACAGGCTTTAGGACTGGGAGACAAGGCCCCGTCACTGACTTGCTGGGTGAGGTCAGGCAGGTTACTGCCCCTCTCTGGTTCCCCACCTGCACCCCTATTTTCCAGCTAAGGAGCAAACATGACCCCTTCTCTCTGGGGCAGCTAGAGAGCTGGAAAAGGCAGGCTGGTGCAGCCAGGGTGAAGCTGAGGACAGCTGTCAGCAGGTCCAACAATGTTTCCTCCTAGCCCAGGCCTGAGCTGGTGCTCTAAGCTGACCCTCATGTGTCAGCTTTATCAGTGGCTCCCTGGTCACGCCACCTGACTGCAGGAGTCCCCAACACGCCCATCTGAGATACTACAGCCAGTCCCAGGGCCCCAGGACTAGGACTTCCACCTGACCCGTGCCCTGCCCAGCAAGCATTTCTTCTCAGAGACCTGGCTCCTTCCTGAGGGCTTCTTCACACGACTGAGCATGACCAGACTTCTCTCTGGGACTCAATTTCCCCACCTTAGCCACAGAATGGGCCTCCAGGCCCCATCCAGCTGTGGCATTGGTATCTGGGTCTAATGTCCCAGCCTCACTTTGCCTATTCTAATAGCACTTGGCACCCAAGACCAGCCAAGGGAGGAGACAGAGGGCTGAGCTGACCCCAAAGGGTCTCCTCAGGCCCCAAGTGCCAGGTAGGGGACCTGGACTTTGCCCCAAGGGCTGGGGTTCCAGGGAACGTTCGGAGCAGGATCGAACCAGTTGTATGAGCCTTCACTCTGGACCGGGCGGCGATGGGTCCCAGAAGGAAAGGCCGCAGGGGAGGGGGGAGGGGCAGCTATGTTGGCCCCGACCACCTCCACCCCGCAAGTCTCCCTCTGGGCGGCGGCGCCGGCTGGAGTGGAGGAAGCACTTCCTCATTCCAGAGGCTGCGACTCATGGACGTCGGGGCCGGCGCCCGCCACCCGCGGCTGCCCGGCTGGGGACACAGATCCGGGAAGTGGGCGCTTTCCCGGACTCCCACAGCAGGGGCCTTTCTCCTCAATCTTCCCTGCCCCGGCCGGCTGAGAGGAGCCCAACGCGGCGGCGTTGGTGCGCGGAGTCTGGCCTCGATCCCGGCTCCTCAGGAGGCGCTTGGGTCCCAGCCATCTCTGCTGCATGGCTGGGTAAGACCGCGGCTCCGCTCCGGCAAAGCGGGAACCGGAGCTCTAGCTGCGGGTTTGCAGGAGACCCGGGCTCGACGCTTTGTCAACGTGTTTGAGGTGTCAGTTTACCTATCTGAAAAGTGGGGTCAAGCCAAG